GTGTGTGTGTGTGTGTGTGTGTGTGTGTGTGTGTGTGTGAGGCGTGTTTCAAACTTGTGTTGGGGAAATGAGGGCGGGAGGGGGTCACCTGCTGTTGGGCAGAAGTGATGTTCAAAATTATCTTTATAGGGCGTGTTCTTCTTCTTCAGGAAAAATAATTAATAATAATAAACTCTAATTGTAATCACACGTCAGTCTGAATGGATTTTGAGTTAGTACTGTTTTTTCTGCTTATGTCTGTGCCGTTTCCTTTACTGGGGCTCTTGTCCAGCCCGCAAAGCGACTCCGTCACCCCCTCCTCCATTTCCATATACTCCGCTTTGTCACCGAGCGAGGAGCCAGAGGGCGAGCCTTTGAATTTTCTTAGAAAGTCAGGGAAGTACGGGCAGCCCGGGGGCATGCTCTCCACCACCGGCGACTGGTCCTCGTTATCGGTCTCCCTGTGATAAAAGTAGTTGAAGTTGGACACTATGACCGGGACAGGGAGCGCAATGGTTAACACGCCCGCGATCGCGCAGAGGGAGCCCACTATCTTCCCACCCACAGTGATGGGCTTCATGTCTCCGTAACCCACTGTGGTCATGGTCACTACAGCCCACCAAAACGCGTCCGGGATGCTCGTAAACTGCGAAGTGGGTTCATCCGCCTCGGCGAAGTACACCGCGCTGGAGAACAGGATGACACCTATGACCAGGAAGAAAATGAGGAGGGCCAGCTCCCTCATGCTGGCGCGCAGGGTGTGACCCAGGATCTGCAGCCCCTTAGAGTGTCTGGACAGCTTGAAGATGCGAAACACCCTGACGAGGCGGATTATTCTCAGGATGGCGAAACTCATCGCGTGCTGTCCGTTGCCCTGATGCTGCGCCAGGTCCGTGCCGAGAGTAATGAAATAAGGCAAAATGGAAACAATGTCTATGGAGTTCATAATGTTTTTAAAGAATTGAGTTTTGCTCGGACTGGCAAAGAAGCGAACTATAATCTCAAACGAGAACCAGATGATGCAGACCGTTTCCACGACGAAAAAGGGGTCGTTAAAAGGAGTAAATCCGTGATCAGCTTGAGAGGAGTTGTTTCGTGGCTGTAGATACTCTTTGTCATCCCTGAACTCCGGCAGCGTCTCCAGGCAGAAAATCACAATAGAAATGACAATAACAAGGACGGACACGACCGCGATCCCCCTGGCAGGGCTCGAGCTCTCCGGATACTCAAAGAGCAGCCAAATCTGGCGCTTGAACTCATCCTCCGGCAGAGGTTTCTCCTCCTCTTTGACGAAGCCCTCATCCTCCCGAAACTTTAGTATCGCCTCCTCCCCGAGTTCATAAAACTTGACCTCCTCGGAAAATATGTCAAATGGGACGTTGACTGGTCTTTTTAAGCGCCCGCCTGACTGGTAGTAGTAAAGAATGGCGTCAAAACTCGGTCGGTTCCGGTCGAAGAAGTATTCGTTCCTCAGCGGGTCGAAGTACCTGATCCTCTTATCCGGATCTCCCAGGAGCGTGTCCGGGAACTGAGTGAGCGTCTTGAGCTGAGTTTCAAACTTCAGACCCGACACGTTGATGACAACTCTCTCGCAGCAGCCGCACTCGCTGTAAACGTTTTCGTATCCGGACTGGGGCCGCCTGTCGGTGATCGACACGGTCTCCTCCTCATCATCCATGTTGCACAAAAAACTCGACCTTTTGCTCCCCCGGTCGCCCCCGCCCCCCTCCCCCTCCTCCTCCTCTTCCTCGGCTCCTTCGGCCTCTTCCTCCTCTATCATGATGTCCTCCTCGGATCCGAGCAGAGCCAGCTCGGAGTGGCGCAGGTCCCCACCGAGAGTGCCCCGGTTCCGTCTCCAGCGTCCGACGCCGCGCTGCTTTTTCCGCTCTCGGACAAATCTCTGCTGCTGCTCGGGTTCCTGCTGGTTCTGTTGCGAGGAGGTGGTGGAGGTGGTGGAGGTGAAGGAGGAGGGGGAGGGGCGCGAGGCGGTACCGCCGCTGCTGATGTTGGCGTTCGCGGAGGAGGCGGCGCGAGACTGATGCTGGCGGTTGTTAAGGAGATGAGCGCTCGAGGAGGTGTTGGAGGTGGACCCTCCGACGCCACCGCAGCTACCTCCTCCTCCTCCTCCACCTCCCTCCGTGCACGTTCCACCTTCGGCAGCAGCCGCTGCGGCCGCCGCTCTGGTTTGGGCAGCCTGGCGCTCCCTCTCGCGCTCCCTCTCCCGCGCGCGAGCCTGGGCATATCCGTAAGGCAGGTGGCTGTTGCACCCACCGTCCGCGCCCACCATGGCAAACTCCATTTTAAGTCAGTGAGCGCTTCGGTCCGCTGACGCTTACAGTAAGCGCTCGCGCGCTGTGATGTGGACACAGACCAGAGGACAAAAGTTGCAGCTCAGCGCGCGCAGGGAGACAAAATGAGGCATGAAGCCTCTCGACCAATCAGTCGTGAATGCGAGAAAGTCAGAATAGCAAACACACCTCAAATGGGTCCATGCTGAGCGAATCCCATGTATCCTACTTACATGATACTGATTGCCATCTCTTCCAGTTTAGGTACAGCCCCCCCTCCTCCGGTATTTTCATGACATCATTACCATATCCAAAAGAAGAAGAAGAAGAAGAAAGAAGGAAAAAGATCAGATGTAAAGGCCGGTGGCATAGCCTGTTACGCAGACGCTCGGTCAAACTTGCAGCGCCCCTTATTTGCTCAGCATTGTAAATCACCAAGTCAACAAGCGACACCTAAACAGTCTCTCCTCGGTTCCTCCGGTGCCCATCAGGTGGTTAATTTCTCCGCGAGGCGGGCTTGCGCCCGAATGCGTCTTTTGATCCTCCCTGGTCACTCATGGTTGCCATTTTAGGACGAGTTTAAAAAAGAGAGAGAGGAAGAGAGATCTCCGTTATTTTATACAGCTCCGGTGAATTTGAAGGACTTTATTCATCTGACGCTCTCAGGAGCTGCAAGAACAAGAAGAGAGGAGGAAACAGCAGTTGGTTTAGGCAAATAAAACCTTCATATCGATGTGTGTTGTTTTATCGAATACACAATCAAAATACATCATTGTTATTATCATCACCATCATTATTATTATGGAGTGAACACAAAGGAATATGGAAGACATTTATGGTTACAATACAATTTACGCATTAAAGTATCCTCCCTTTATTCTAACATCCATACTTACATCTGAAAGGGGGCCAAAACGACATCGCCTCAGTCCCCCCTCCCCCGCCCCCCCTCTTCACAAACCAATCTGATGGAGGAAGCAGGGGAAGGAGGCTAGGTGAGGATGCAGTTGTTCACTCTCGCTCAAATCCCCGTTATGATTTTGGAGGGTAACGCCGCAAAATCCCTCGCTGTATCCACGCAGCGACCATATCCACATCCAGTACACACATCCGTGCTCTGACGCACTCTGGAGAGGACACTTTTTTTTGGCTGCGCCTCGACGTCTTGTCTCAATTCAACAGGATCTATCGCCACTTCAGCTTCCGTTTCTGCTGCATCGCTTCTGGTATGCCGAGAGCAATAATGTTACCCCCTCCAGAGGAGAAAAAAAGAATGAGAAGAAGAGGAGGAAGTAGCAGGTGTGCGCGTAGCGAGTTGGCATCAATGACAGCTCCACACGAAGACAAGATAGGAGGGTGGGTAAAAGTTTACCTTCGCACGGGCGAGGGGGAATGGCTTCATGGTTTAAGTCTGAGCATCGCACATCTGTCTGTCTGCCGCCGTATCCCTACCTATACTCCTGGATCCCTCCCATTGTGTGTGTGTGTGTGTCTATGTGTGTGTCTCTGTGTGATGATGGAGAGTCTCAGTGAGAAAGTCGCTCGTGTACCGCAGCTCGTGCAGGCGGTGCTCGGTCCTCCCCCAGTGGCTGCAGCCGGTCACTGCGCACCGTGCTGCAGTCTCTCACCCGAGCTTCATCTGCCCTTCATTGTCACTGCTGGGTAGCAACCGGTGTGTTTGTGTCTCCCCACCATTAAAAAAAGTAACGCATTAACCTAACATTTTAACTGTGCATTTTGCAGTCACCAACAACTTTCCTAAAAAACTAATCGGTGTTTTTGTTGTTGTTGTTGTTTATTTTCTCATATTAAATCAGAAAATGCATACATCACTTATTTACATACGTCCATATATTGTAACTTAAAAAAGTGTGAATTTAAAGCACTGGAAATACTTTTCATACAATTTCACGTCACCTAAAAATCGTTTAACATTATTTTTGTTAATATTATCACAGGAAAAAAGGTTAGCTCATGCAACAACAACAAAAAAATGTTCACAGAGGCCACAAAAACAAATAATTCATGTTCGCTGTGCCTGCCCTCCCTCTGATATTTGATTAGGAGAGCACTCGAAACAGAATGCAAAGTGTTCATTAACCTCCTATGACCTAGCGATTCATTCTTGTCCTCTGTCGGGGGGACACGAGTCTGAGACCTCCACGAGCACAATTCATGCAATCTATTTGAGTCTTACTGTACTGTCAAGGAGACATCTCAGGGTTTCAAGTTTCCACGTGGGCTTTCTTTTCAAAACGATGGCCATTGCTCATATAATTTTTTACTATATTTGCAAGAATTTCAAGCAAACTTTTTTCATTTGGTCATTATGGGGTATCGCATGTAGAATTTTGAAGTGAGAAATGAATTGAATCCATTTCGGAATAAGGCTGTAATATGACAAACTGTGGAAAATGCAAAGAACTGTGAATACTGCCCATTACACAGACAGTGTTCTGTGTAGTGGACAGGAGGACTTACTCATTCCTGTTTTCAACCTATATCCACACTTCAAGAAGCAAAGGAAAGATTGAGGCAGAAAGGACTTTACTCAGAATTGCAGAAGGGCTGTCAGACTTTGTGCTGTCCGATGATGAGGTGGAGGAGGACCAGACAGAGCAGGAAGGTGAACGCTCAGGGGAGGACATGCCATTGAGAATCCAGTTTGAACCCTACTGAAACTGGGTTGAAACTGTTTTTAACATGAAACATGAAAACAGCACAGCGCACACCCTGGAGGCCCTCTGATTACATGAACAGTAAATAGGTGTTCATTCATGGCGCGATACCTTCAGGACTCAGATATACTGGGTCCCATTTATAGCCAGTTAAATAAGTCAAGACAGATTCTTTAAGATTAGGCAGTCGTTCAAAGTAAGAAATGATCCTGATGTTTTTCTTCCTCCTGAGGCCCAAACAAGAAATTGTTTTGATACTGAGATTTTTAACCACTGTGGTTGAAAGAAACACATTACAACAAATTGTTGTTTTCAAAATAATTTATTTATTAATATATCATTTGTCGCTTTGATGGACTGCCTACTTTTGATGAATCTGTCTCGACTTATTGAATTCACTATAACTAGGGACAAGTACATTTGCATGCTATGTTATCTGAGTCATGCCGTCAACATGGATATGCAGAAGAATGTTTTTGATGTTAATGCTCCACCTTTCTCTGGCTGGCGTGGCTCTGACGTTTTGGTAGTGCCTATTTTCTGTTTGATGTAAACAGGGAACCACCTGTCTTGGTGTTTATGGCCAGCATTGACCTGTTTCATATTCCATGCTAAAAAAAAGAGAGAGAAAAAAGAGCCAATTTCAACCCAGTTAACACTCTCAAATTTAGAAAACAATTTGATTTTTAACAACAGAAACATAATATCTGCCAAAAAAAACCCAAAACCTTTCAGTCAACCTTCCTATGTGGCCATAAAGATGTCATTAAAAAAAAACAAAAACCATCTGCTCTGTTGGCCTCATTCTGCCGAGATCGTGGAAGGCCTGTGTAGATGAGTAGATAATTCACATGTAACTCTAGAGTACTAGATGATCCGTTACTGCAGTTTGTTGTAGGGAAATCAAGTCTTGCAACTTAAAAACCATAATGTCTGTCCCTCCTCTACCTCATCTTCTGACAGCACCGAGCATGACTCCCCTTCACCTTCGAACAGATGCATCAGAGAGCAACTTGGGGTCAACTTTTTTCTGGGTCTCAATAAGTTATTTTGTTACTGAGCTTCAACAGCGTGACATAATCCAACGTTCTTGTCTGCCATAGTTGTAATTAATCCTGGGCAGTATAAAACACTGCAGTGTACAGAAACATCAAGGAAGACATGAATCAAATCTACATGTGCAGCCAAACAAGTGCTAACTTCTAAACTAAAAGAAAGAAAATTTCAAACACGTTCACTCTTAAATAGATTTATGAGGCTGGAGTCTTTGAAGTTTACGCAGAAAACACGTTTTTTATTGCTTTTTCAAAGTTTGTTTACATCAGTAAGGCTTGTCATAAGTAATAAAAAAGAGATTTAAAACAAGGGATAAAATTCTTGGCATGTAACTGGGATGTATCTCATTAATCACCAGAGTCTGGTCAATATACAGTCATGAGAACGCATTCACAGGAGTCTATGCAGTCCAGTGAAAAACTACACACACCCTTAATGCTTCCATAGGAATTAAGATGGTCAATAGTAGCAATATGCTGCTCATCAAATCCACTGGATTAACCAGTCATGAGCAATTGTGAGCACCTCTATACAAACAGCAGGTTTTGGCTCTTTGTTGGTTTGAATCATTTAAATTTGTGCATTATTAAATGTTAAAGTTCACAACAGTAGATTTGGTCACCTAGTCAACTATGAACTATGTTTGTTAAAGTATTCTAGATTCTAATGTGAAGCCATCCGACAGCCAAAGCTTGACCAATATCAGCCCAAAGCAGGACAATGATCCCAATCTCAACAGCAAATCTGCAACAGAATGGCTGGAAAATAACAAAAACAAGCTGATGCAATGAGCTGCTCAAAGTCCAGACACAAACCTGATTGAAACTAGCACTAGCAGTGTTGACATAGTGTCAACAGTGTAAACAGTACCCCTGCCAAGAAAGACAGAAAGACAAAATATTTCAGGACCTTTCTTGTCTAATTTGTTACATATTCTTTAAAGCGACGGCACAACAATTCATATACTGTGTAATTAGAGGTCATCTTCTCAGCCGAAACTAGCCTGCAGCAGAAAGAATGGAGAGTGCAGTACAACAAGCAGGCTAACAAATTACTGTGTTAGGGTATTAATTAGTCAAACAATGCATTACTATTGACTAGGCGATTAGGAATGCATTACTTTTTTGAGTAATGAGTACTGAAAACCACAGACAAGTGGGTATAATGAATACCACAAGGATTTTTCATTAATGTGGCCACATTAGCTCTTATTTGCATACGGCTGTAAGACTTTGTGAAAATGATGATACTCCAAGCAAAAGAAGACAGATTTGGTGCATGAAACACACAATAGGCAATGTGATGATTAGTGTGCTCAAGGATGCAACTGACCAAAACAAGTAGAGGACAAATGCAGTTCACAAACATATCATATTCTGTAATTTCATCATTGCTTGGCAATACTTTCAGCTTGTTTGTGCTGTCAGCCTTCTGTTAACGGGTCAAAGGTGTCCATAGACACGTCTTTTGGGATAACAACTGGCGTAACTTTAAATACCAGACATCACAGCACCTGGTGAGGTAACTGTTGAGTCAGTGTTATCGATTATTCACCCTATTGCTGCCGCAGATTTATGTGGATCATTTTGCACTCAGGTCTCACTCACTGCACCTTTGAAACCTCCCAGGTTTGATTGCACACATAATTAGTTTTTCTGCAGGTACTGCTGCAGGCCTAGTGCTGGGCTACAAAGCAATCAGTAGCTATAGCCCATTGAGTTCAGTCCATTTGATTCAAAGTATACATCTGAAACAAAAGCACTAATTAGGACACGGACAGCCTGTTATTCCAGATACAATATTCCTCTGAGGAATCCTAATAATCCCCTAAGGTATTTCCCAAATCTCTACTTCTAATATTCCTGTTGGGATATTTTTGGTTGCTTGTGCAGTCTCCTTCTTAACTCTTTCATACGGCCATTGTGCTACATTTTGATACCAGAGAATATGAAACGAAATGTAAAACCCAATGCGTATGCTTGTGCTTGTGAAGTAATCAATGCTGCTGACAGTGCAAATCTCACTCACTGCTTCTTTAAAGAGCCTCATCTTCACAGTCTTCTCTCCTTCTCTGTACTTCTCAGATACTTAACTAAGACTTAAGTGGAGGTCTTTTCTAGTCTGTACCACATGTAAGCTCCTTTCCACCCACCGCACACGGAGACATCATGCTCCCCTCAACCCCTGCTCTTATTCACCGAGTATCCACCTCAGTCAGCACCAGAGGGAGTTGCGAGGTCAGTAATAATAAGAGGTGATAGAGTGGGGATGCAAGGTGCCTTATTAAACACAAGTTTAGTTGCACTTTGAACCAGTGCCAGAGCTCATCAAAAACCCTTCTGCCTCTCACGAAGCATAGCCGGTGAAAAACATCCAGCACTCCAAATTCATAAAAAGACGAGGGAAATGTCAAACTCTCTATGCATGAGACACAATCAATATTTGTTTTTTTCAAAGCCATCGTGCAGAATTACAACTTTACTTACTTAACTTTAAGATGCAGTACAGGAAGCAATGATAACCTTTACAGCTTGTCCGTATGTAATAAAACTCAGCGCTGTATCATAGATATCTCGGTATGTTTTTGGACAGTGATGCATATTTTGTAATTTTGCTTCTGTACACCAGCACTGTGCACTTTAAATCAAACAAACAACACATTATTCAAGCCCAGATTTTCAGCTTTAATTTAAGAGGTTTAACATACAGTTAGGTCTGTAAATATTTGGACAGACAACTTTTTTTCTAATTTTGGTTCTTTGG